ACTAGTTCTTGGGAGAAATTCATCTTCCCTTTGAGCCTTGAGTTCTGGTAAACCTTTGACAGCACAGAAGCTGTAGGAGCAATAGCTGACTCCTTTGATTCCCATGTAGAAATCAGATACAGAGAAATGTTGCCAGGGCATGTGCCTGCATGCTGTCCTTGGCTGATCTGTTTAAAACAGTGATTCCAAGGACCATGAGATCCTTGCACAGGTGCCACGGCATGCCACACAATGTTAGCATTTTTAAGTGTGCTAGTGCCTACATATGATTCACAAGATAAACCCAGAGATTTCAAATAGGAATTCACAGCGTCAGAAACATGCTGACTTGTGGTGTCTCTCAGTTGGCTGCAACAAAAGAATTGCTCTATTATTTTCCTGTAGGAAAAAAAATGAGTGGAAGCTTAAAAGCTGGCATTATCTGAGGGGTGCCTTGAGTATAATGAGGTTGTGAACCACTGGATTAAAAGCGTAGTGAGGTGCTTGGCGAGAGCAGTAGTATTTTGAGGGTAAACTTACAAAAGTAGTTAACATATTGTTCCCGATCTGCAGATAGTGCTCTAAACTGAAGATTGTGCAAATCTGTAATATAGAAATAATGGATTTAGGAGTTTCTTATGGAATTTCCTCTACCCTTTCAAATACAAAATTTGTTTCAGAATCGGGAAGTATCCAGCATTTGCATTTCAAAATGTAATGGCTAAATCACACATTCTATTTCCCATCTAAAATAAAAAGCCCCAATATAAAACAAAAGAAAAGCCCCGATTCCATGCTTGCACTTAATTACAGGAGAGATAACATGGTGTATAGTCCATCAGAGCATTGATATGACATATTGATGTTGCTTTATTGAGGTTTTCTTTATCTCTCTACCACAAGAAATGAGGTATGTATATAGTGTTACTGGAGATATTGGAATTTGTATCCAATTAAGATTGGGGCAGAATTTTAGCTATGAAATATTATGTGGATCTAAGATATATTAAAAAGACAGCATTTTTCCTGGACATTTCCTTCCTTTTAAGGATTTGTCTGGGTGGATTTTATGGTTAAGTCATTAATTTTAACATTTTTTTTTTCTTTTGGGAGAATTTGATATAAATTGAAATTGATCATCTGGCCCCATTGTCCAACCTGAATGAGATACCAAGATGCCAAAAGCAAAGAACATGAAGTGAAAAGATAAAATAGATTTTAATTCATAAGCATTGCTTTGATGTTGAAGTAGTGATTAATAGGTGAAAGTAAATAATTTCATTATCTTCCTTTAATATAATCTAAGAAGTTATTTACTTATTCAGTCAATTATTTTCAAGAACTGTTCCTTGATTCATTTCTGCATCTCGATTTTTCTGAAGGAGGTAGGATTTTAATTAATTGCATCATTTTCAGTCATCTGGTGAAAATTAGACGGTGCCAAGGTAAAATATCTGTTCATTCTTACACATTTTCAGTTAACTGGCAATACAGAGACATGAAAACATTCTCTCATCACACGTCTCAAAATTAAAAAGGAAATAGGAAAACTAGAACTTGTGCTCAATATTGATTCTGTCAAGGAACTGCTTTGCTATTTATTTCAACAACAAAGACGATGTGAGCCAAAAATAAATTGGGCTCTAGGAAGATGTAGGACAGGTATACAGAACACCTGTACAGCATCCTAGCCACATTTACAGACCACGCATGCTTATGTATCGAAGGGGAGGCAAGGAGTTTTTTTCTTTTCAGGCAGGTTATTTTTTTCTTTTGCTGGCATGTGACGGAAAATACAAAGCACCCATCTTCAGGTCAAGACCCAACAAAGCAAGATAAAAACCCTTGCTTTTTTGTGTATTTCTGGGACTATCACGGTAACAATAAAGCTCCAAATCCTCTTATGAGTCTGAAACATTTTTGAAGCTTGCTTCAGAAGTGCTTTTTGTGTTCTGCCTACTTTAATATGAACAAAGTGTTGTAGACGGTGTTGTACCTCTGCTTATCCTGTGCATGGTCGTTCCATAAAACTGTTAATTTGTCTCTTAGAATTAACATGCCCTCCCACCTTCCTTTTTAATATATAAATTGCTTCTCAAAGATTTTATTTTTTCTAAACATTTGGACATAAAATGTGTATGCAAATATCTCCAGAAGTCATGGCTTCCCTTACTTACTAGCTCTCTTTTGTTTGGCCTCTTCTAAATTCAGACACAAGAATAAAACTTTTTAAAATTTTAATTACAAATAGAAAAATAACTCTCAGATAAGTTCTCTTTCACTTTGCTTTACTGATTGATTTTGGTATAGAAACTAAGAGGGTTATTTTGTTTTTGTTTTTTGTAAATTGCATAAGAGTAAGGTAGAAATAAAACCAGTCAGAACTGCGTAGCTTCTATAATGATGGACAAATAAGAACTCAATTGCAAATTAAGTTAAATTAGAAATTAAACCAGATAGAGTTGCCTTTCAGAATAACTTCGATATGAGAGTAGGGAGCCCAGCAACACAAGACAGTGACCCATAATGTTCAAATCTCTCATCCACAGTTTTAATACAGCTAGCCATACTAAAAACATTCAACAGTTTCAACATAGAAAGCATTAGCATATTTACTGTAATATTCAAATACTGGTTATCCTAATTAAACCCTAAGTTATCCAAAAGTGGATTTCTCTTTTGAGCTTGTTTCCTGTCTGGGGATTTCCTGGGTTACAGACATTGATAAGTGCTTCTGGCATAGATGCACTTGTACCCAATTCTACCAGAGACAGTCAAAACTTCTATAAAAACAAGATGTGCTGGTGAATCTTTCTTCAGTTTCAAACAGGAGTAAAATGCACTGGTGCAGTTTGCGGTTGTAAATTATAGTACATTTTTTTTTGTCTGCACTACAAATTTATAGGGCTGTAGTTGAACCTGCAACTGGCCACAGGTAGCTGAAACCCTTAGAGCAAACCAGGCAAGAGATTTCACTTTATTGTATAAGGCTTTGTATAAGGACAACTACCTGCACTGAAATGCTTCTATTTGGAGAGTTTTGAGGTTTTTCAGAAGAAAAAGTCTTTTTACTCTGAAAGTGCTAAAGCCTGCCAATTCCCTGTCCCAACATTCACTCATTCAAACTTGGAATCAGCTGAATGAATTTCAGGTGTCCAATGACATTTGCCTATTGAAGAATACACTGTATAACGCAGTTTAAACTAGTTCTGTATTGGGACAGATGTAGCTTGGGACAGATGTAGCTCATTCAAAAACATCTAGCAAAATTATTTTAACTGATAAGATTAAATCAAGAATCTGAAGCAATATAATCAGTCATCCATCAAACCCTGGGAAATGAGCCCAATTCTGTCCTGTTTTACAACCTGCTGAAGTCAATAGAGCTGGATAAGGAACAAAAAATCAGGGCTGAATGTGGCATTACTACATTAAAACTAAAAGTCTGTGGTTTTGGTTTGCGTTCAAGTGCTGGAGAATGAACCTCAAGTGAAAAAAAATTTATGTGTTTCAATAACTAACTGAAACCTTTCAAACCTATCCAAACTAGTTTAGGTTGTAAGGACTCCCAAGAATAAGGTTTTACTCATTAAATTTTAAATACTTCTTGGCATTTAAATACAGGAAGAATAGATTTTCATTGCGTTTCACTACTTCCTCCTCTTCCCTTGATTATTAAAACTAGCATGGGCAGAGGCCCATAACCATTTAAAAAGAAAAGGTTTAATACAACTTTCTGATTTACATAAATTTTAATTTGGTTCAGTATGTTATGAGCAAAAAGTTCAGCTCAGTCCTCAGTGAATTAGTTCCTTCTGTCCTCAGTATTGTGCATCAAGATGAGGGTGACAAAGAATTGAAAGCTCCAACAGGTTTTCCATGAGGCAACCAAATTCAATGCCTGCAGGCCACAGGGATATGTCACATGATATGCCACATGACTGCTAAAATAGAAAGTCTCAGTATCTCTGTTCATAAGGACATGAACAAGCTTGGTTTAAAAATACCGTAAATGGAGTAATGTTAGATAGAACTGAAAGTAGACTAAAGTAAAACTGACGTTCCCAAATGAAAATCAAAAGTAGTACATAATGTACCTGCAACTTGGAAAGTAAAAGTGGATTGTGACCTTGCCTGATGCTATAATAAGGTTCATAACATGAAGCATGTGAGAAGCACCACTGAAGGTACTGGCACTTGATCATAAAATATATATAAATAAATAAAGTCTATAGGGCTACCAGTCAGTTTAGTGTTCAGCACCTGCGTAAAGGACTGCAGAATCAGGGCCTTTTATGATAAAATTATACTTCAATGTCATACATTTTTCCTTTACTTAATCAACTGAATCTGTTGGGAGAAGGCAGGGGTGCATGTGTGCATGTGTGTGTCTTTTTTGAATTGAAAAATAAAAACAGTTTTATTTTAAACCTCCAAAATAAGATGACAAGGTTGGATTTTATTTTCTGCTGCAAACATTCACCTACTTTTCCTTGTGCAAAATTGCTAACTTTTTGCTCGTGGTAGAACACATGCAACCAATTTTATGAATTGTTTTAGGCATTTAAAAAATTTACTCTAAGTGATTTAGGAGCCTAGATTTAATATTAAAAATTATTTAGGTGGTTGGGAGTCTAAATCCTTTTGAATATCATCACTTACACAAGCTATAAGTACAAATCATCACTTCCATTAGGTATTAAAATTGTTTTTAAAACTATAGCACTTTTTCATGCACTGCATATCATTAGACTAATATTTCATAGTTTATTTTCACCTTTCTTGTTAATATAACATGGCTTAGAGTTGCTGTAATGTTACTACTTTCACATGCAAAGTTTTGCAATGAGGTGCAATCTATTTTACAATATATACTTAGCTATTTTTTCTGCAACTCTAATGCCTGTTGTTTTGTTAACATATTTTTACTCATTGCCTTTTCTCTTAAAGAATATAAACTTAAGATTTTTTTAACTGGAAAAAAAAAAGGATCTTTCTTGGAATTTTCTATCAGGTTTTACCTTTGCAAATTCCCCAGAGAGTTGCTAACAGTGTTCTTCACCTCTTCTTTCCCTGGTTTGAAAAATCTCTCTCTCAGTGAATTAAACCCCTGAAAAGGCATCTTGTCTGTCTTCTTTAAGAAGTCCTTTTGATTAATAGTCACTCACAAATGCTGTCATATTTGCTCATTTCAGACTTGGGAGTCTTTGTTGTTCACCTTCTGATCTCTAGGATAACAACCAGTTGCTCTGGAAAGGATCACAGAAATAGAAGAAAAACATCAACACTGATCCTACAAGAAAGTCAGTAAGAGCTCCAGTGCAAAATCTAAGAGCACAATTTCTGCAGCAATACTGTGTTTCTCTTCAGGGGCAGGCACCTTGAAAGGAGGCGGCTAGTCCAAACGCTGCAGCTGGAGGAACTGGGAATGCTGAGGTTGGTATCACTGGACCTAGTGCTGCTGTTTGCACCTCCAGCCAACCTCAGACTAACTTGCACAGGCTCATCCTCCCTCCCTTCTGCGGCATCTCTCATGTTGAGATCTTATGCAAGGTGATGCTATAGTAACAGACACAATACCTGTCCTCAAGCCACTCAAGTTTATTAATAGGATCTCATTCAAGGCAAGGGCCAGAAGTTTATTAAACATTTACAAGTGCTTTCTTATGCAGACTGGGAATTGCAGGCTACAGTTCCCACTTGCTATTTATCCACCTGCACATATGAGCCCCCTAACTGATAGCACCTGCCCAATCTGCCTTAAAAATTTCTTCTTAAGCCATGTAATTTATAATTGATACCACTGGAGCCTCAGGCAAACAGATGCAGAAGAGTTCTAAAAGTGCTGCTATTTGAACGGGCAATAAAAGTTCGGCTGTATATTGCGGTGATGCATTGTAATTTTAAAACGCAAAGTGGGTGAGAGATGAATCCTTTCACTCAACTCAACTTCGCTATGACAACATGGCTCTTTTAGTGTTGAGTTCAGACATGCAATCAAAGCTCTTGCAAGAGTGCAACAGTCCAACAAACCCAGAAAGCTTGTACACTATTGCCATAAGGCCAATGTGAAATGGGGCAGTTGTATTTTTTGCAACACTTGTGTTATCAAGGCTTTGGTTTTGAAAGCAATACAAACCATACCTCCATTTTAGGCTGGTGTTGGTCACCCTGCTCTGCTTTCCCAAGTGGGACAAGTGGAAATCCACAAATGTTTTGAGATTTCAAATCATAGGTAATAGCAAAAGGGGTGGGTTTTTACTCTCTAGGTTTCTTTTGTACCTTGGGATAGAAAGGTACAAACAAACTTTCAGCTCTTGGCTCTGCCAACAACCTTCTATGTGACCTTGAGAGAGTTTCTCCCCTTTCCCTATGCCCGCTTTGTCCATAAAGTCTGTACAGGAGGGGTGGGCAAAATACGGCCCACGGGCCACATCTGGCTCACCAGGCCATTCTATCCAGCCGATGGGGACCCTAAAAATTTTTGAAAATTCATAATTATCTGTCCCTGGCTCCTGTCCAAGATGACAGGAGTCAGGGGCAGTAGGACCCAGGGGAAGCCCTAGCAGGCTCCTGCAACAGCAGGGCCCACCCAGCCTAGCAGGGGCTTCTGGTTTGGGACTGTGGGGCTGTTTGTGGCTGCGCCAGCATGGGGGAATTCAGGTAAGAAGGGCGGGGTGGAGAACCGTGGGGATTGCCCCAGTCCTCAGGAAAGGTTCATGCTGAGCCCCACAATCCAGACATACAGCCGGGAGCTGGCAGGTGGGTGGGAAAGCCAGGGTGGAGGGGAGTGGAACCAAGCAGAAGTGCGGGGCCTGTGCCAGTGTCTCAGGGCCAGAGCCAGCAGGGCCCAAAGCAGGGTGGTAGGAGCATGGGGTGTGGGCTGGCAACAGTCTGTGGGGCCAGGCTGGGCTGCACCAGCAAGGAGGGTGGGGGGGAGACCTGGCTCCATAGAGCCCCTGCTGGCCAGGACCCTTTGCTCCTGCCACCCTGCTCTGGGCCCCACCAGTGCTGGCCCCAGGACACCAGCATGGGCCCCATGCTCCCGCACACCCCGCAGTGCCCCCACCCCAGCCCTGTGGTATAAGCGGGGAGCAAGTGCGTAGCCCTGACCCCACATGCCCTATGCTCACCCATGGCTTATGAGCTGGTGCTCAGCATGGGGGAAAAATGGCCCCCCTCCTCCCCCGTGGCTAGTGCCCATGCTGCAGCTGCTCGCAGGCCACATGCGGCTGTCCTTCGTCTCTGCTGCATCACCTCAGTGGGGGCAAAGGAGAGCAGGCACAGCTCAGCCATGGCAGCAGCAGCAGCAGTGCTCCCCCATTGCCGATAGACAGTGTTTGGTGCAGACACCCACCCAGAGCCCACACTGAGCTAGGCTGTGGTGCAGCTGCTTCACCACCACCTCTGTGCTGCCCAGTGGCTGCTCCACACAGCCATAGCAGGTTACAAGCTGGTGCTCAGCACAAGGAAAAGCACTCCCCATCCCACAGCCGGCACCCTGTGCTGCAGCCACTTGGAGCTGCCTGTGCCTGCTCTCTGTTGGCCCCGCTGCCCTGCGGGTGATGGTGATGTGGCAGAGGCAGGACTGCCCCACGCAGCCTGTGAGCGGCTGCAGCATGGGGCACTGGCCACAGGGAGAGGGGACTGCGCTGAACACCAGCTCATAACCTACAGGTGAGCATGGGGCACACAGGGTTGGGGCTGCACACTGCTCCCTGCCTGTACCATGGGGCTGGGGCACTGGGGGTGCGTGGCAGCTGGGAGGGAACATGGGGCCTACACTGGTGTCCTGGAGCCAGCGCCAGTGGGGCCCAGTGCAGGGCAGCAAGAGCACAGGTTCCCAGCCAGCAGAGGCTCTATGAAGCCAGGTCAGCTCCGCCCTCTCCCTGTTGGTACAGCCCATCCCAGACTGCTGCCAGCCCACACCCCACACTCCTACCACCCTGCTTTTGGCCCTACCAGTGCTGGCCTTGCGCTCCCACTCATTTCCACTCCCCCCCCGCCACTTTCCCCACTTTCCTGCCCAGCCAGTCTGCACTACATGGTTCCCACACACACACACACACACACACACAAACACACACACACACACACACACATTCCCCACAAACCCCTCTATGCAATCACTTCTGCATATACACCACAAATGCCCACAAACCAGGACAAAAATATAGTTTTTAATTAAATTAAAATATATTATTATGGGCGTTTGATTTTTAGTATGTAATTTGTTTTTTTCCCCCCAAGATGGCAAACCCTCTTTCACAAAGGAGTACTTCCAGGGTCAAGGGGATGGACTTCCAATGACAAAGGTCAGAGGTTAGGGGCAGGACTTCTGATCCCAAGATGGCGACCAGGGGGCAGGGCACTTGTCAAGGGATAGGACTATCCATGTGGTCCTCAACAGCTTGTTAAATTCAGTAAGTGGCCCTACACCCAGAATTATTGCCCACCCCTGCTGTACAGTCTCTTTATATAATGAACAATATCATTGTATTGGGGTCCTGATTTCAAAGATGGACTCTGTGTGTGCTGTAAATCAGTGCTTCTCAAACTATCTGATGTGGTGGACCGGCAATTTTTTTTCCAGTGGGCCAGGGACCGGTGCCCGGTTCAGCCGGTGGCAGCAACCGTGTGTAACAGCGCTACACAAATGCGCAACTGGCTGTTTCTTTCTCTTTCCTCACCTCACACAACATGACATCACCTGGAGTGTTGGAATGTATGAACTGTGGCGCTATGACATATCAATGTTACGCTTCTGAAAATCTCTCTTTCTTTCCTGGCAACTTGCTGCGGACCAGCAAATATATTTCTCTCTTTCCTGGCAACTTGCTGGGGACCAGCGACCAGTGGCTCACAAACCAGCACCAGTCCGCGGACCACCACTTTGAGAAGCACTGCTGTAAATGATGGACTGATGTCCCACGCCTCAATTATAATCATGACAGAGAACTTCAGAGACGAGTCATAGAATATCTTGAAAGTCACTCCCTTATACTTAGTGGAAGAGATGCGTAGGACAGGGCAGAGTCATCACTCAGTTGTTAACCGGGGCTAAGTGCAGACAGTCAAAAAGCCCAAGGCTGAATTGATTCCATCTTTGCAGGTTAGTCTGAAATGCACAGATTACATTGAAACAGAAGTGAGCATTTACCTTTGCTTCAGCCACATACCTGCAGTGGTTCAGGCCAGAAGCCAGGGGGCACTAGAGCACAGCTCTCTGGCTATGTGTTTACTTCCTCTTCCTGCTGTCCCTGAGGTCTCTGGGATTTGCAGTCCAGACTGACAGCAAGAGGACTCTGCAGGGTTGCTCATCACTTCCTCTTCCTGCTTCCAGGTGCCTCTGGGATTTGTAGGCCACAGTTGCAGTCAGCAGTAAGTTTGAGCAAGGGAAGGGGTGTTTAACTGCTCCCCCCCCCCGGACCCCAACCAGGGTTTGACTGGGGGGGGCAGTCCCCCCTCTGTAGGCTGGGCAGCATCTCCAGCCTGGCTTGTTGCCCATTCCCACCCCCCTTTGTCAGCCAGCCCTCACTGCACTAGCTAGGAAGTGGAGGGGCAGGGCCAGCCCTGCTCTCTGGAGCAGACAGCCCAGCCCAGCTGAGGGCTGGAAAGCATGCTGGGGGACTGATTTAACTTGAACCAGGAAGGGGTCTGGGACAGAAGCTTTATAAACCAGTTTGATCCAAATCAGTTAAGTCTGATACTACATTCAGCCAGGTTCATCTTAAACCAGTTTTGGCCATTTTGAAACTGGTTTATGTGCATTAAGCTTCCATTCTGCTACAGGTTTAAACCAATTTCTGATTACTTAAACCAGTTTGTGTGTAACTTCTGTCCCTAGGATGGGCAAGTGGCCCTAGGGGAACTCTTCTAACCTCAGCATTCATCTCAGCTATTGGCTTCTTTCTGATATTAATCTTGTACCACTAACCTAAAAAAAAAATGTCTTGGCAAAAAGAGATCGTTGGCTGACAGGCTTTTTTGTTGCAGAATGAATTAGCCCATTCTACCTGGTTACTGTCTTCTTTACCCTATTAAGTAACTCTTGTCCTATTTCTAGAACAGTGATGGGAAAGCTTAGACTCAGTGTGACTATCTTTCATTTTGGAGCATACAGACTGTCTAATCCTTGATGGACACATAGCTAGTCAGCTCCCAGTACTGACCAGATATAAGGGGATGCAGAAAATCATCATCAGCACTTACCCAATAAAGATAAGAACACACATCAGATCAGCATGCCCCATTGCCAAAACTAACTTAAGAGTGTTCACAAAATTAACCCCTGCATGAATCACTGCACACAGCACATACACATATATATGACATAGCAAGCCAGTGTCCAACCTATAGATAGAGGCACATGGTAAGCCTGTCCCTAACTTTAGAAAAATACACCTACTGATATGTGCATAGTTTCCTACATGTACTTCTAGCAGAAATACACATTCTAAAATATATGAAACAACTAATAATAATCATTCTAAAGAATAGGGAAACTCAGA